ACTTTTTATTCTTATCGCCATACTCTACCTTGAGTGACTCTTGGCCTTTTATTTGGTGAACAATTACTAAAAAAATATACTTTAGTCCCCATAATATCACAATTTTTACATAAAACACTAATCCCATATTTGGGGAACTAGAAAGAAGTAAAAAAGTACTCAATTAATACCCCAAATGTTAATTTGCAAGAGAAACGATATTCATAAACAAAACAAGATGATTTTATTCGTACTATCCTCCTCATCTTTGTCGCCATATTTATTACAACGTTTCGGCCGTTGTACGCTCCGGCCTTCTTCAGGTGGTTGGAATGTCGAACTGAACCCTTTATTAACCTCACTGGAGTAAACTGTTCTAGTTCTACGTGCCACGTGCTGTGTGTACGCTATCCCGTGCAGCTACGGAAAGAAATATAAAGGGGAGACAGGCCGCCCCCTTAACGTAAGGCTTCAAGAACACCAGAAAGCTGTAACGAGTGGAAATGGAAAAATCTGGCGTGGCTGACCACATATGGAGAGAGAAGAGAGATCACCGCCCTCTGTGGGATCAGGTTGAGGTCATAGACAAAGAATACCAATGGAAAATTCATAAACTTAAGGAATCAGCACATATGTTAGGCCACAAAAATCTCCTGAGCCGACCAAGTATAGAAATGAATACAATATGGGAACCAGTAATAAGGAGTGCCAGAGAAAAGCGATAATAACAAAAATTGCAATATGAGCTCTAAGATTCTATTTGAATGTTGCGCGGACCGTATAAAATTCTTGAATTTTGAATTCTTGAATTCTACGACGTATGAATTTGCTTTACTCAAAAATGGCTCAAGTGGAACTCGTACATAAATTCCATCGCTAAAGTGTTTGGATCGGTTGCTTGTATCAGTGTAATGACCAAGTGATTTGCTAAGTGTAGCTTAGATGTGGCACAAGGCCACAAGTATTGTGCACTCAGTGAGGATCGGTCTCACTAGTAAAGATCTACGGAAACAGATTACCATTTACTAAGTGTAGCTTAGATGTGGCACAAGGTCAAAAGTATAGAGCAACCAGTGAGGACCGAACTCACTATTTAGTCGTAAGTGACTAGCGAGACAAGCTCGCTAACCATTACACCACGTCGAAGTGACCTAGTGAATTACTAATCGTAGCATAGATGTACCAGAAGGCCATTAGTATATATATTTCATCATGTACAATTACAAGTGCCACAAGGGCTAACATGGGGGGGTAGTTTGTCTTCTCCAGTTCAGTCTTAACTTAGCTAGTATCCCTCATATGATATTCCATTTACCAAAATATCACAATTACTCTTAATAGTTGCACCACAGACACCAAAATATCTTATTTACTTAGTCCTGAATATGATGACGAACTACAGCAAGGCCTCTGATCGAGAGACTGGAACTTCTGAGGGGCGTGGAATCGCTACTTAATTGCTGTTGTTCCCAGGTTCACCCTGACTCTCGGTGGTAGCACCTGTTAGGGGTCCCGGCTATGGGAAAATATGAACGCCCAAACAAAAACCAAGCACTATGAAAGTAGTAAAAATACTAGCAATACATTTTATATAAAATAAATTAACAACATTACTAATTTATAGTAAAATTTGCAACAATACCGATTTATAGCAAAATTAGCAAGGTTGCCTATTTATAGCAAAATTTGCAATATTACCTAACTACAGCAAAATTAGCAATATTGCCTAATTGTTGCAAAATTTGCAACATTACCTATTTATAGCAACATTACCTATCTAGAGCAAAATTAGCAATATTACCAATTTAGAGCAAAATTTGCAACATTACCTATCTATAGCAAAATTACCAACATTGCCCATTTATAGCAAAATTTGCAACATTACCTATTTATAGCAACATTACCTATCTAGAGCAAAATTAGCAATATTACCAATTTAGAGCAAAATTTGCAACATTACATATCTATAGCAAAATTACCAACATTGCCCATTTATAGCAAAATTTGCAACATTACCTATTTATAGCAACATTACCTATCTAGAACAAAATTAGCAATATTACCAATGTGGAGCAAAATTTGCAACATTACTTATCTATAGCAAAATTACCAACATTACCCATTTATAGCAAAATTGCAACGATACCAATTCATAGTAAAATTAACAACAATACGTTTTTGGAGCTAAATGGCGAACAATACATTTTATTTGTAGTTGAAGGCATACAATTGCGTTCAAAATATATTTCGTTGAAGCCATAAAATTGTGTTCAAAATATTTAGATTTCGGCATTAAATAACCCATAGAGATGTTGATATGCCGCTAAACAAAATCAACCAACCAACAATACATATTTATAGTAAAATAACCAACAATACATTTTATCTGTAGTTGAAGGCATACAATTACGTTCAAAATATATTTCGTTGAAGCCATAAAATTGTGTTCAAAATATTTAGATTTCGGCATTAAATAACCCATAAAGGTTGATATGCCGCTAAACAAAATCAACCAACCAACAATACATATTTATAGTAAAATGACCAACAATACATTTTATCTGTAGTTGAAGGCATACAATTGCATTCAAAATATATTTAGTTGAAGCCATAAAATTGTGTACAAAATATTTAGATTTCGACATTAAATAACCCATATAGGTGTTGATATGCCGCTAAACAAAATCAACCAACCAACAATACATATTTATAGTAAAATGACCAACAATACATTTTATCTGTTGTTGAAGGCATACAATTACGTTCAAAATATATTTAGTTGAAGCCATAAAATTGTGTTCAAAATATTTAGATTTCGACATTGAATAACCCATAGAGGTGTTGATATGCCGCTAAGCAAAATCAACCAACCAACAATACATATTTATAGTAAAATGACCAACAATACATTTTATCTGTTGTTGAAGGCATACAATTACGTTCAAAATATATTTAGTTGAAGCCATAAAATTGTGTTCAAAATATTTAGATTTCGGCATTGAATAACCCATATAGGTGTTGATATGCCGCTAAACAAAATCAACCAACCAACAATACATATTTATAGTAAAATGACCAACAATACATTTTATCTGTAGTTGAAGGCATATAATTGCGTTCAAAATATATTTAGTTGAAGCCGTAAAATTGTGTTCAAAATACATGTTAATGTGTTACAAGGCTGAGTGGGGTGGTAAACGCTGACTATCCTACACACAACTAATCCGACCCATACACTATAACAATTTCCTCACTTATCCCAAAAACTCATCTTTCTCCATCCAAGGCAATATACAATATATATAGTATATTATATACTATTATATTTCATTACTAGTGGTAACTCAAAGTACAGGCAGCCGAGGCGCTATCAAGGCAAAGGGCGTCATTATTCCGCCATGTCATGTATTTGTGGATTGTCCAAACAAAAAGGAAAAAATGTGGAAATAATAAATAAAATGAAATTAAAAAAAATAAACAAAATATTAAATTTCTTGAATCGACTAGAATTTTTGAGAATTTGTTAATTTCTTTCTGTTATGGCATTGTGATCAAACACCATAACAGAAAAATTAATGAACGGATGACGTGGGCATAATGATCGTTTGTGGCCAATGAAGAGAATTTTAGTTTGGTTTGGTTTGGTTTGTTCTGTTTTACAGTACATCAACCTCAATGGGTTACTTAATACCGACAGATTTTTTTATTGCCTGCAATATTTTTTTTCCAAAAATGTATTGCTGGTAATATTTTTTCTTTCAAAAATCTACTTCTGCTATTATTTTTCAAAAAATAAATGTATAGCTGGTAATACTTTTTTTTCAAAAATGTATTGCTGGTAATACATTTTTTTTTTTTAGCTGTATTGCTGGTAATTTTTCCTTCAAAGATTTATTGCTGGTAATGATTTTTTACAAAGTATTTCTGGTATTAAAACCTATTTTTAAACTTTCATAGTTTTTTGACCTCAGTTAACTATTTGCTCATAGGTGGGACCCTAACAGTTGCTACCACCCCGGGTCAGGGCGGACCTGCGAACGCCAGCAATTAAGAAGTGGTTCCACGCTCCTCAAAACCTCCTGGTCAGAGGCCTTGCTGTTGACATAAAAATTTAATGAGTATAAAATTCTATACATAAAAATCTATGGATGATATACAATGAGTGGGGGGTGGGGGTGAACCCAAAAACAAAGTAAAATATCAAAACAAACAAAATAAAGATAACTGATGTTAGCTGGACCCGTCAAACCCTGAAAAGAATTCAGAGAGGCCGCTGTATTCTGCCAATATATTTATTTCTGATTATACAGAAATTTTGGCACATGGCCGAAAAGGTGGCGGGGGGGGGAGGTTGATCATCTTTAACCATTTTAATCCTAGTTAATCCGACTCACGACCCATTCATTCATTACAATTTACTCATTCACCACAAGAATTTATCCATCAACTCTCAATCCTACATACACCAAAATACCATATATTCGCAAGAGACCTACAAAACACCCCAATGACATAAAAATTTAGAAGTTCATAAAATCCAAAAATATATAAAAAATTTCATAATGCATGAAATGATGGGGAGGGAATTAACCCAGAAACAAACTAAAAATGTAACCCAAATAAAACTAAAAAGAAAAATGTTCGTAGGACCCACCCACCCCTCAAAATAATAAGAGTGGCCGTTGTATTCTGCCAATAAGCAGAATCAAGATGCTCGCTCGATCGCTGGTGGCTGGGGAGGAGTAAATCAATTCCAGATGGCGGGAATATACCACTTTTTTAATCAAAAAATATCTGTCAATTTAATTATTGGATTTAAAAATACAATTGTGGCACAAGGCCGAAAGGGAAGTGTGGAATAAGTTGGTCATTATTGACTATCCTACACCTAGCTAATCTGATTCACTAAGCCAAGTTACCTTCCTTTATCCTCCCACGCTTAAATACTTTGGTCTTGTCCGATATCGTCATATGAAAATAAATAGCAGTGGAATTGCAACAACGACAACAGTAAATCCAAGATGGAGTCAGCTGGAAAATTTGTAATGTACTTTACAGCGCTTGTTCTATTTGCGTTATCGGTGATACTGCTTCTGGTTGGAGTCAATACTTTCTATCACTTTTCTTCCTATACGAGCGTTTTAAATTATCATCTGCTTTCTCCTGCAGGCGTCACGATTTTCTTTGGGTTGACTTTGATCAACGTATCTTTTCTTGGCCTGCTTGGCGTCTTTTGTCGCAGCTTTCTCCTGCTGAGCTTGTTTCAGCTGCTTCTGTTTCTTCTCCTCGTCTTCGAAGTGCTGATTGGGATTATCCTGGCTACGCTGCGTTACGGCACCTACCCACCGATTGCAACCGCCATGTTGAATTCCGAAGAGCGTTACAAAGGAAATACAGCCGTCGCTCGAGCTTGGAACGAAATCCACAGTCACTTCTCTTGCTGTGGAACAAGCCAGTACAACGAATGGTATCCATTCTTCGGCAATGGTACTGTACCAGATTCTTGCTGCATAAATTACTACACCGGATGTGGTCATTTGGCAGTTAATTTAACCAACATCTATGATACTGGCTGCAGTGCCACTATCAGAAACTGGCTTTCTCAAAATGATATAATATTTACAATTCTATTCTTGTCGATTATCGCCTTCCAAACTCTCTCCGTTTTAGTTACTCGGCGGTACCTTAAGATTCAAGAACAGCACGGCTTACTAAGAGAAATTAATTAATTCATATAATCTAAAACTTGTAACTTCTATTTACAGTTCAATGACTCAACTGGCTTAAGTGTTTCACTAATACCCGCTTTATAATTATATATATATATATATATATATATATATATATATATATATGACTTTTCTTAATTCCACAGATTTTTACAATTTAGACGTCATTTTGAGTGGATAGCTGTATTTGATTAGACGCTCTGTTTATTTATTAAAAGGTATACTTATTTTTGTCTACCAGCCTGACTGTTCGAGAAATCTTATAAGAGAAACAAAACGCACGCACTCTGCGGCCGTGAGGTTAAAGCACCTCAGATCTAATGACTTCTCCACCTAGGGGAACTCAGGTTCGGATCCTGTCGGAGGATCCGGATTTTTCTCTCTCTCTCCCTCTCTGAAATATTCAGGCCGGCAGACGAAAATATACTGTTTAATAAACGGAACGTCTACTCAAGTACGAGCATCCTCTAAAAATAGCGTTAAATAATAAAAATATATAGTCATTTAACAAATCGTGACTATTTTGTCTTGTCACACCTGTTCTGAAGTAGTTTACTGTTAAATAGTTTGTTGTTTTTTTTGTTTTTTTGTTTTTTGAGGGGAGGGGAACTCTTCGCCCCCCCCTCCTAAACTCCATGAAACCGAAAGTGTTTATAAAAACAAAATAAACGCTGTAGTTGAACTTTAACATTTTCTCTTCTAGTGCGGAAACACCCGGTGAGGACCAAATTTCAGACACTAGTAATAAACTTAACCCAATACTTGCCATGAGCACCATTTAACAATGTTATTCCTTTGAATTGCTTACATACATTGCATTTGCAGAGGTATATTTAACAACACTTAGCCTTTAAAATTATTATTAGCCGTAAGACACTTTCTGTCGTAATTTTACACTTCACGAGTAGAAAAATGACTATTTTTGAAAAGTATTTTATTTGTAATCAATATTTTTTTCTTGTACATTTTTTTTTTTTTTTTTTTTTTAGCTTCTATAAAACCGACAATGGTAACTAATGAAATTAAACAAAGGAATAAACTCCTAAGACACCTGTCTGGGCCAAAAATGCGCATTTTAAAAAAAAAAAAAAAAAAAAAAACTTGGCAGTTAATGGGTTAAATTAGCGAAGTGTTTGTCCTAACTTAATCTCTCACTTAGAGACAATTTATAATGTGTGAGAATGATAATTGTTGCGGGGAGGGTCTTAGTTTTTGCCGATGCATTTCGTCTTCTGACTTTCTCAAGGCAAACAATAAAAGCGAAATATTTTTGTTATACATGAAATCTAAAATTTCAAAAAGTCACTCCTACATAAGCCTTTTTCAAAAACATTTCGCTATTCATTGTTTGACTTAATAAGGTCAGACGAAACGAGCCGGCAAAACCTTTTTCTCCCAATTGTCTTTTTTATATCAATTTGTCTTAACAAAAATTATTCCGGGAATTTTTACTACACTTTATGAGTATATATTATAAACTTGTTTCAACAATTATGTCTTACTCGGTGAGAATCGAACTCTTGTTAACCATTACTTTATGACCAACATCTGTAGAAGGTGGGATTCTTTCTGACTTCATTAAATAAGGATAGCTAATTTACTACCCAATTAAAGACTTTGTTTCGTTGCCTGATTTCTAATGCAAGAAATCTTGGAGTCAAATTGCTATATTCTAACAACTACTTCAGTAAATCGAATTATGACGTCAATAACATCTTATTTCTCCAATGCCAAGTTGATACATTTTTTTTAACTTGACTCTGTAGAGGCTAACTCGACTCTTATTCATTCTCCCCCCCCCAACAACCAGTTGTTTATTAACTTCTATTGTCAAAGAACGACATTCCCCCTCTTCGAAAATCGTGTAATTGGATAATATTTTTATATATCTTTTGCTATTTCATGCGATAAATCTGTATTCCATTCAACTAGTCTGTCATTCGCCTCAAAATAATAAAACTATCTTGCTTTATAAATTAGATTTATCATGCTCTCGAAAGCAGGCCATCGAGCTTATATTAAACCACTGCGCGCGCTTTCCAACCTTTTGGTCTGACATATCGCTTAACGCTTTCAAACTCTTCGCAGTCGTTCTGCTCATATAAGAACTTTTTTTTTCTCTCCAAACACCGATATAGATTTTATTCTATAATGAACTTTAAATACTGTATAACCAGTCATTCTTCCTAGTCAGTGGTGACGAAAGGTGGTTACAGTCGGCACAAATGTGCCGGGCCTCGAAACCCGAGAGTCCTCAAGAAAATAACTGGGGTGGGTGTTATATATATATATATAAGTAAAGAGCAAAATTACGAATCGGTATTTTATTGAAAAAGAAAAAATACAAAGACTCCAACCCGTTAGAGATCAGCTTAAAAGTGTGACCCGGATATAAGAGATTTTCTCTGGTCCCAATTTAGAGCCTGTGTTAATGTATATATAATAGACCAAACCCGGATATAAGAGATTTCTCCGGTCCCGACAACTCTCTTATATCCGGGTTACACTGTACATACATATGGAACTCCACTTTTTCGGCATAAATTTTCGATACCTAAGTTTAAAATGAATTATTTAAAACGAAAAAACAAGATTTCATTTTAGCTTTAATTAAAAGTTTAATAATTAAATTTTATTTCCATTAATTAAACAATCCTGGTGCATTTCAAATAGAAACTATATACATTGGAATGTCAAATTTAATTTCGATTTCTTAAATTTTCTTAAAAACGGCCATTTTCTTAATTTTAAGAAATTTGTAAACAGACAAAAATTTATCGATTTTTAAAAATATCTTAAGAAATTTCTGACACGTTATTTTAGTAAAATTAGAAAATTTAAAGTTAAATTAATCTGATTTGAAAGAATTATTACTTATAGCTTAAAAAAGTAATACACAACCAATTATTAACGATATATATGGAATGTATTTTTTTTTCTTCATCGAAGCAAAATGCCTGAGTTCCTCAGTCTAAATCTCGTGCCAAATCACATTCGATCGCAATGGTTGCCAAGTAAGACACGCTCATAAAAAGTCTTGTAAGATACGCTAGATCGTGTTTGTTTCTCCCAGCATCTCATTTTCCGACCAGCGGGGAGGGGGAGATGTCTCAAAATGAGCAAAGTACCGGACCTCGGAGATTCTTTCCCCAGTACTGGTCCAAGTAAATAAATTTTATTGAATTCTTGTTCACAATTTCCCATTTGTCATTTTCAAGTCTCCCCACGAAAAAAATCTTTATATATGGCGCATCTATTGCGTATTAATTTTCCACCATTAATTGTTAGAAACAATTCGTTCATGTTGACGAAAGTAACGATTAACATAAAGTGGTTAACGTGATAACTTGGGTGTTGTTTTTTGGGTTTTTTTTTTACCAGGGACGTGCCTAATGTGGTTTACTGGTTAGCGGCTCGAAACGAGGTATCTGTTAGCCGAATTTAAAATCCAGTCCATTTCGTTCTATTCACTTTAGCGTAAATACCCTTGAGAAATGTATGAATCAGTTACTTCTCCCTGTTATGGGATAAATAGTCGGACAGACTGGGCTCTTCAGCCTTGGTTGGCAACCAGTCTATGAAGGGGCACTGTATTAAAACCGTATATCATGCCAGCGAAGCACAAGGTTTAAAATGTCTGCTGTCGATTAATCAAGCAATTCTGACTCTGCCAGCACCTTCGAGAATAATTAAAGATATCTTTCTTCCAACGCCGATATCTACTCAATATATTCTGAAGTGAGAGGTACACATCAGTTGTGATTTGTGCCGTGACTAATCAATCACCCTGACTAGACCAGACAAGATGTACGAATGGGGGTATTAATCCTCTAGTATTGCAAATATTTACATTCAGCGATAATCCTTATCACTTAAAGTTCATTCCATATAAGCTTCATAAATCGAACGACTTGCCACTTAAGTTTGGTCTTATTCTGAAAGTGGCTCGAAACAATTCGTACATGTTGACGAAAGTAATGATTATCATAAAGTGCTTAACGTGATAACTTACTGTTTTTTCATAGGTTTTCTTATTAAGGACGTGCCTAATATGGTTTAATGGTTAGCGTCTCGAAACGAGGTATCTGTTAGCCGAATTTAAAATCCAGTCCATTTCGTTCTATTAACTTTAGCGTAAATACCGTTGAAAAATATAAGAATCACTCACTTCTTCTCGGAATAAATAGTAGGGCAGACTGGGCTCTTCAGCCTTGGTTGTCAACCAGTCTAAGAAGGGGCACTCTGTATTAAAACCGTATATTACCCTAGTGAAACACATTTGATGCAACCAATGTGATGTTTACAATATTATTTCAACCCATTCTAACTATGACACGAGAGTTATTAATTTTTTTTTCTGGAGAAGCTGGCGATACATTGCTAAAATGATGTCCCAGCAAAAAACACTTCAAAGTAATCTGGAGTGGGCGGGGGTTGAAATAAATTGTTATTTGAGTGTTTGCCATCACCACCCCCTACCCGCGAGCGCCCACAAAATACATAAGTGCCGCGACAGGCAAGGATAAGCTATAAGAGAGAACTGTATAAATAATGCGCCACGCGCTGACTCTCTAAATCAGTGATTCTTAACCATTGTGACGCGGCCCAATAGTGTGCCGCCGATCCCCTAAATGTGTCGCAATTATTTCTTTCTTTCTTTCTCTCTCTCTCTCTCTCTCTCTCTCTCTCTAA